TCCTGAAAATTTAACATCCCGAAAGTCCAATATCCCACAACTTACCGAAAATCCAACATCCAGAATCCTGACATCATCCAAAAAGTCTACATCCCGAACACTCAACATTCCGAACACTAGCAACCTGACAGTTCAAAATCCTGAAAATTTACAATTAAAATCACGTGTTGTAATGTGTTAACGTATGCAGGTTTTAATCTAGAACCCTAGCAACCAATAAGAACGCGCAAAAATTCTGCGCAACCAATATGAATGTAGCAAATTTTTGATCAACCGGCAAAACAAATCTGGCACAGGAAAATGAGAAAGACAAAAAATGCGAAAAATGCAAAAATCAGATATCTAAATCTAGCTTGACGCATTATCAAAAAATGTCAAAACCCAATTTTAAATAACAAGTGAAATAAAATAAAATCAGGTGAACAAACATTTTACAAAAACAAACAGAAAGTCATTTGATTACTTCTCAAAGTCGTTGTGAGATTAGAATTGATTTTAACACATTAACATGATGTGACCTAAAACAAAAGTTTGGCCTGAAAAAAGCTCGACCGAATCGCCAAATATTTCAACCAGTTAATAATCAAATTGGAAGTATTGGGGAATCCACAACTTACCTTACCCCATAACTTTCTATAGATCATGTATAATCTACCAAAATTTTCCGAGCACAAAGAACATTACGTAAAATGCTGATCATTGATACTTTTTATAAACACGTAGATAGAACTTCTATATCGGGTATTGTATGTTCATAGCCTCAAATACATGTAAAATACATCAGTCAACTTAGAACATAATGTCTCAATGTCTAGTGATTCAATTTGAGCGAAAATACCACCATTTGATTTACCTAGATTAGAAAAATCAAATGGTTGTATTTTCGCTCAAATTGAATAATTAGATATCGAGATATTACATCCATCCTAAAGTGATAGATTCATATTTGTCGATAAATTTTTCATTAGAAATTGATTCAATTCGAATAAAAATAACTCCATTCGATTTGCCTAGTCAAGATGGATCGGAGGGTATTGGTTTAGTTTGAATCTGATCACTGGAGATCGAGATATCACGTCCTAGATTAGCTGATTAATTTTGGTCAATATCAAAAAATGAATCTGCTACTTTATGACACAATATTTCGATGTCCAGTGATCTGATTTGAACATTTGATTCAACTTGACGAATCAAATGGTAGTATTTTTGTTCAAATCAGATCAATGGACGTCAAGAATGAGATTATTAAATATAGAGATGTGTGTTATGAAATAACTGATTATATTTGGGGCGAGAAAGTTTATGAACATACAATACCTGATATAGAAGCTCTACCAATCTATAAAAGGTATCGATGATCAGCATTTGTGATGTTCTTTCTGCTCGGAAAATTTTGGTGCATTACACATGATCTATGGAAAGTAGGTTACTTCTGACGAGCAAGTATGCCATCGCTCTGCTTAAATCATCCATCATTCTTTGTTGTGCACTAATAAAAATTACCGCAGTACTAATTAAGCGGGTATTTCTACTTCGGAATGAAAGAAACATTCGTTTTTCCCTATAAGCAATTACCCTGTAATCTGTTACAAATTGCAGGTAGTTGTAGTTAATTACACCATCTATTTGACTGGGAATTACATACATGGCCCATATGCCAATTACAAAGACTCTGTAACCACCTGTAATCCGCAATTGATGTATATATAAGACCCTGTATCATGTAATCCCGTTAAAGTAATTAATCGTAACCACTTGTAATTTGTAATGGATTACAAATTTTTGTAAAGGTAAACCACATAATTTTACAGAGGAAATTTCTCATAGGATTGCACTCAAACTTTTTTCTTTGTTATCATTTATGTAATAGTGATAATACTTCGGGCGAGTTAGAATATCAGGTCTTATCGATTCGTAAGTCCTCTTACGCAATGCAATGAGTTAGCTAAGAAAACAGTTATCGTTATCAGTTTACGATAGAAGGATTTCTAAATGAAATTTATGCACATATGACCAATATACGTTCATGTATTTGGAATCAATAACATTTCATCATGATTATATTAATCACATGATGCATTTCAACTCTGAATGTCTGATTCAAAAAAGTTTAAATAAAAGATCAGTTAACCCATAAAAAACGTCTTGATCGCTATGCTATCCTCTTTATTCATGTAGCAACTGGTAAATGACAGGTAAATTTGAGAATCTTGACGAAATGATAAAAATAGAACATATATAAACAGAAAACAAAGAAAAAGGTCTTGTTGATTCTTATTAGGAAAGTATTCAATCAAGAACACGGTTCAGTTTTAAGTTTACTCTATTGATGAGTACTTTCATATTATAGCTTCGAACTAATGCTAATTCGCAAAATAAAAAGATGAAGTATATTGTTGCTCCATTATAATATTTATTTTATATAAATTTATTCCGTAACATAATAATGTAATGATAAGATAAGAATAATAATACTAATAATAATAATAATAATAATGACAATGAATAATAATAGTCGTATGTCAATCACGGAAAAACCTGTTTCTTTTTTTTGATTTATCCAAGATTAATTATTCTTAAAACAGTAAAACGTGTTTTGGCGTTTCTTTACAGAAGAGAAACTATTCCGCGAATATGCAAAAAAAAACTTTAACATCTAATCTTGATTCGGTTTTCAGCGGTGAATAATATGGAAAACAATAGAGCTTTTAAAAGCAATTTAGACGATGCTCATGTGATAAATCAAATCCATCTAAAAAAAAAGGAGACAAAGAAAATCATTAAAGTAAAAGGACGATAATAAAAGGTTTTCCATAATGATTTTAAGATCGAATCTTTTCTGTAGAAGCAGTTTGATATATTGAATATTGATTATTTTATAGAGCAATCAATTGTGGCAGTTGTACATACACGCGAATTCGAGGGTACAATATCAAATTATCATATTAGTTGTCTTGATTTATTATAAATCTGTCAAATTAATCAATTAATTAGATTCTCACTAATAATGTAGGCTTGCATTTTTAATTCTCTAGTAAAAACAACCATTTTGATAATTCACATGCTCAAATTGTGTCAAGCGTTTAACATATATAGTATTGAAAGCCATTTTTCATTAAATCTAAAAGAATTAAAAAAAACTTTATGTTAGAGGTCCCATTTAAGATGGACCTGTGGTTTATTAATACGGGTTCGCGTATCTTTAGAAAGATCATCTTCCTTATTTATGCAAAATCAACTTTATTTTCTTTGTGTAATGACATTTCTATTAGCCGAATAAGTAATAAATTCACTGTACCAATTATTGAATTTCAATTCGATTTGAATTTTGTTTGTAGTTTACGTGACGCCCACATGTGAACGATTTTTATTCAATTAATAATGTTCTTTCTTTGTAATCGGATGCAGAAATATTTTGTATTTTTGGGCAAAGTAAGAAAGCAAGCAAGCATGCAATGAACAATACAAGGATTATATTACCAATCATTCGTATTCGCGGCATAGGAAAAATTAGCTTCTAATTGGAAATTCTTTGGAAGTTCAAAAAAGCAATCTTCTTGCTTACATTTTTGATTGCTTCTAGTCGAAAAATTTTGTTGGTTGTTGTCCTTGCCGGTAGATGACGAACAATAAATTATCTTCTCTTAACAGAAATATTTTTCGCCTAATTAGTGACCTTCTAGATCATTGAATGACTTGATGAGTGTCGGGAAAACCCTAAATATGAATTACAATGATATTCCTAGTTTAGTTCAAGCATGAATAGCGCGTGTCCAAATATAGGAATAGCGTGTGAATTTCTATTTACTAGTATGGTTGTACAAATAAATTACTAAACAGCAATGTTTATGTTTTATTAGCAAGAATTTTTTAGAAGACACATCTATTCAACATTTAATGAATTCGTCTTAATTTTTTTAATTGGTGTTTGACTTTCATTCGCATTCGGTAGCTGGATCGTTCTATTTAAAATTTCGCTTCCTTGCCCGCCCGCTCTCTATGGGTCATCTCTTTCTCACCAGGCAGGCAAACGCTAGAGAACCCGCAAGTGTTTTCTAGTTGGTACTCTAACTTTCTTATTGTGTGCAATGAGAATCAGGCCAGATTCAATAAGGTTTTTGCGTAGACATAACTCGCGCAGCGACGCTAACCATTCTCTCGTAAAAACACACACACGCACATGTACACAGCCAGATTGAAGGAAAAGTGAATCAAGAAAAACACCAAATTCAGGCAAAAAATCGATTCAATAAATGCCACACATATTTTATGCAATAACATTCGTTGGATCGTGTATTAATTTCTCAAGATAATATTATATGTGACAGGATTTATTATACGTCCCATTCATTCAAAATAGAATGATATACATGTATTATGCGCTCTATTCAACAACAAAATTAAGCTTGGCACGGGGCGCACCCAGTGCATAGTTAATATTGAGAATGTCTGCACGCTTTGCATTGGTGCGGTTGTTGTACCAATGAGATTTTATCATTCTGGGGATTACGAAAAACATACAAGAATGAATAAATTATTCCGTGATGATATTCCTCTTACCTGGAAAGTAGCCATAAACCAACAAATGTATTAGAATACAATAAATTAATAATATTTTTATATTGAATATTGATCCCTTTTAATAGTTTGGTGAATTCATATAAAGGGGGGATATCAACAATCTGTCATTTTTGACCCTCACTTAAATTCAGTGTTGTCTTGTGAAAATCCACCAACAAACTTACACACACACAAACACTCGCAACTCACCCACTAGATCCGAGATACACTTAACAATTACACATCACCATCTACATTTTTTTATAATTACAAACAGAATCAATTTCCAAACAACAATAAAAACCGATAAAAACGACAAACAAGAAAACCCGAAGCCTTAGTTTGCTTTTCTCTTCTTATTGTTATCATCACCATAGCCAAAAGAAAGAAACCATTGTCATCAACTTTCTTTCTTATATGCAAGAGAAAATCAGCAAATAATGAACGAAGAAACAAAAAAAAAGTATTGTCATCTTTTGATGTTTGAAATCTCCAGCGTCAATCGCCAACACGAGCAAAAAAACAATATCAACAATTACGATTCTTCACTTACAAATGCAAGTGAACATGTTTCTAGCGCATTCCAGACAACCAATAACAACGATTATAAAGAAATGTCGGTGCAATTATGTTCGTCGTTTATGTATAATAATAAGAATCAATACCCGCAAATCAATCCGAATAATGCATGTGAAAAACCATCTGCATCCGCAACAACTCCTCCTTTCGAACATACAACATCATCCAATGTTGTAATCGGTGGTGGTGGATATTTTAACAAACCGTCATCATGCATCGCACCATCAGACATCATCGCTAATCATGGTAATGGTTCGGATGCTATGAAAGTATCAAAAAAGTCCAACAATCCCAAAAAACCAAAATCAACAACTACAGCCACAAGAAAACCAAAAATAAAACGCCCTAAAAGAACACCTCGTCCTCCCAATGCTTTCATTCTTTATCGAAAAAATAAACAACCGGAAATCGTTGCATTGAATAAAACTTTGACGAATGCGGAAGTTTCAAAGGTTATCAGTAAATTATGGTGGAAAGAGACGGAGGAAGAACGATTCCGATGGGAAAAAATGGCAGATAGGATTAAACTACAACACATGCAGGATTATCCAAATTACGTCTACCAACCAAAAAAACCCGGCACAAAGAAAAGAAAATCAATTAAAAGTGGAAAGAATGAAGAATCTTCGAACAATCTTTCGGCGAACGTGGTTGTAGCAAGAAATTCCAAACAAATGGCTACATCAGCATTGAAAGATGACGACGTTTTGTCTGCTATCGCTGAAACAGCATTCGCTGGATCAAAAGCAGCGGCGGCGACGACGACAGCTTCCTCAAATAATATTAATAATATTAACAATTTATCGATAAATATACCAATTGATTTAAATTCACCGAATTATCAACTTAGTTATCCGCCTCCAAATACGCCGACAACCCCACTCTATGAAAGTACTATGAATTCTTCTAACACGCAAAATCACATTATATTCCCCAATTATAATTTTCAACAATACGCAAATGTTGTCGATCCGATCCTGAATTCTCCGAATTTGCATCTTCAACAATCGAGATCAAGTTCTAATCAATATTCTGAATATATAAATCCAAGTGCTTTGGATAATTTTTTAGAGGAATCGAATAGATATCTTATGTTTAGACCGCAGCATCCTTCTCATCATCATCATCAATACAATAATCATCAGCATGATCATAATCAACATCAACAACAACAACATACGCCACAAGAATATCTGTTAAATCATGGCAACTGTTCGACTCCCGATGAAAGTACTACCTCGGGTATGAACGAAGAAGGCAATTGTATAATTGCCAGCCAAAGTGAAGGCGAAGGAAATGGTAGTGCTTGGTTGGTCGATGTCTACAATTCTTCCAATTCAGATGAGATCGACAGCTATTTGGGTGAACCGGAACCGGAAACTTCTTCCGAATATCTGGAAACCGAATGGTCCAGATCTAGCAGTGTTAGTTTGTAATATTGCTCAATTAAAGATTTTAAAATTTTATGACGTAACTAAGAAAAATTCATTTCATTAAGCTTTTAAACATATAAAAATGCAAAAACGCGAGTAACTAATGTGCTCGCAAATACCTTTTGTAAATAGTTTTTCGTTTTCATTAAATTTTAGCATTTATTTGAGAATTTCACAACTGCTCAATTTTTTTTGCTCAACGTGGAGAACAAAAAAACTTTGGTTGGAGAATCACGTGTTAATTCTTAAAACCATCTCAAAATATGTGATTATTTTTTTATTATCGTTATACTTACAATATTCCTAAAAAAAATTATAGATTTTTGCACAATAGACATTTTTTCATTAACTTCTTTTTTTAAAATTATTGGCCAATTTAAAACTATTTCTCATTCTATAGATTACCACAGCTTTTCGTGAAAGTATTTTACGTTTTTTTTAATACACTCACTCTTTTCAAAATGAAATCTACGTATCATGGAATTTTAGCTTAATCGAGAAATAAATCTGTCATCTTCTGTTTTAACAAAAAAAGCCTTTCTGTGTGCATTAGCACGATCACGCATATATTATCGTTATTGTTACATACACGTATTACGTATCGTTATGTGCAGCTAGTTACGTACCCTGTGATGTCGCACGGCCCATATAAGGTTGAAGCTAGTTATTGCTAACGCAATGCATCTAACGCAGATGTATTACACATGTCAAGGAGTCAATTTAATAACGATAATGATCATCAATGCGGGCTAATGAATCTATTACAAGTAAAGTCGAGTATTTAATTATTCAAATTAAAAATTACTATATTTCAACTATAACATACATTTTAGGGATGTAAATGCAGTATATCCTATTATGATTCACAGATAATTTTATCTTTCGCAGAAAATGCGCAGATTGCCCACAATTACGACAATGTCGCATTCTTATCATTGGCGAACTCTTTGTATCGATGACCAAGTACATGTAGTTTGCACCACGCATATTGGAATAGAATTATTGTATAATTTTTATGTCTGCCAAAGTGTAATAATTATAATATTATTCACTGTTTTACCCCCGAATCGGAGTTTATTTTCATCTTCCGAATTAATTTCGGAAAAGAGATTGCATAAATATTCTTGGAAGCCTTCATTATTACTAATTCTTTTGTTTATATTAAATCTTTGAATTAATAACTCTTCATTCGTAAATCAATTTTTGTGTGTTAATTAACATTATATAAAAATTGAATATACTTTAACGTAATTTAGAAAACAATTGGTTACTACGTAATGGATACATGTTAATTTCTAGATCAATAAACATGATATGCAAACACGACAATTTCGTAAACGTACAAGATATTACCAATTGTTATGATCAAGGAACATGAAAAAATAAATTTTAAAATGAATACGAATAAAATATATTAATCAAGTAAAAGTACATGTAGTTACCATTTCTTTGATCATTTGTTATACTAAAATTGAAATCATTTGGAGTATATAAACTGACGCTTGTAGAGACAAAACAAATTTTATAATAATGTGAAATGTCAATATGATTAATATCTAGAATAAAAATACCTTTGTCATTTGGAATTGAAACTAATTACGTATAGCAACGATTCGACTGATGCAAATTACATTTAGATGGATTTGTTGATGCCTTTCTAGTTTAAAACACTCAATATTTTCTTAATGTGTTTTAGAATATAGTACTGGGAATGCAGGGTATTCGGTTTCCCATTATTTTGAATATTACAATTAGATAAATGTAAGTTGATTTGTTATCTGTAATAGGATCACAACATTTTCAATAATAAATTTGTACCATTCGGGAACATTTTTGGTCGTACTCCTTTATAAATGTTATGGACGAGATATATATCATGATTCTGTACATTACCATTTCAAAATTATAAATATAATTATTGCACCAATTTTCCGAATTATTATCACCGTCAATATCGATGATTAAATAGTCATTTAAACCTCCAACCTTAAAAATAATTTGGGGCCCTTTTTATGAAATCAAGTGATCTACATCGAAAATTTTACAGGCACTTTTTAACCAAGATGCATTCGAATTTAAGTTACCAAATAAGTGTTTTGCTCTATGAAATCTAAATTAATCGCAAATTCGTCGAGACATCAGCTTTGGAAATTCAAACTTCAATTAGTAAAAAAATAGGTGAATGATTTTACTAATTGAAATTTGAATTTCCGAAGCTAATGTCTTGACGAATTCGATCAATTTAGATAAAAATTGGTATATATACAATAGATGTCTGAATTTATTTTATAATTATGTATTACATATAATTGATTATATCGATTGGTGTGACTAATGAGAAGTCAGACTGTATAAGCAGTTAATTTAATTTAATTTAATTAAATAAATACAACCACTGTTCAAAGGATTTTCTCTGACCGAATCTTAATAATTACAAAGACTGATACCCGATGCAGAATAAATGGAGATTTCAAATATGGTAGTCATTAATAATTCATGTATAAACCACCACATATCTACAGTATTTTCTTGATATATTTTAACTAAGAAATAAAATTTACTAAAAAAATAAACTCAAACACAAAACGAGTGTACTTTTAGTTATGTAAAAAGTGATTGTCAGAGATATGGGATATGGGTAGTCGGTGAAATAGATTGTCGAGGATATGGGTTGTAGGGATATGGCTTCGGGGGAATGTTGTGTTGGGGAAAGGGGTTAGTCTAAGAAATCTATATGGGATATCGGATATCTCATTATTGGCTAACTAACCTAGCTTCTCGAATTAATGTTTCAGTTAACAATTCTCTTATAGATATTTCTTCCCAATTTTGACTCCTTTTTGTGTTACACGATACGAACAAAGAGGAACGCTTTTTCTGATGTAATGGATTTTGTCACTTGTACAATAGGCCTCGAGTCACAAACTGTGTCCTATGCTAATGCATGGAATGCACGGATATATAATGTGAATTAACTCATAAGCTTCCTTTTATTTTTTTACGGACTGAACGAACCACCCTAGCCCAAGTATTGAGCCACTACTATAGTGATTATGCGATTGCTACAACACAAATACAAAGTCAGAGTCTCAATAGTAGAAACGAAATTTTTGCATAACAAAGTATACCCGTAACAAGGAACTTGGACAGTTATCTATCAACGCAAAAGGGACCCTTACACACTAATACTATAAAAAAATTCGAAATCATATATACCCGGTTCGGGTTAAAAAAAGATTGTTCGTCGTTGTTAGAACTGGTAAGGTCGAATTTTGTTCTTTTTCGAGCCTACGTTTTTTATGATAGCGACTCTTCTTGGACGGTTTCTCTTGCAGCATAATAATAGGACTCGAAAAAAATAAGCGAAGGTAATACTATTCGACGAGCCGTTAAGGTTAAAACCCTAGAGCCGATGTCCTGCCCAAACGTATTTACTTTTGCGAAAGAAAGCATACTTCATGAATCATTCATCCTCTATTATACATGTAGTTATAGCAATAATCGAATATACACGAACTTTGCTGATTGCCTATAATGGCATTTCATAACGTTACACTATCAAAAAATAATCGGCAAAATGTGTTCCTAGAAACGTTCAGGAAAAAATTAATCTGAGTGAAAAAAATAAGAGTACCCTAGCCATGGCGAAAAAATGTGTTCAGATAACGTGGTACCAATAAGAATCGTGAATTGTATGATCTGTTGGTGACACAAACCAATAAAAATGCGTAAATTTTTGATCAGCCGACAAAACAAATCTAACACAAGAAAATGAAAAAGTAAAAAATACGGGAAACAGATGCCTAAATCTGGCTTGATAGACTAATAAAAAATGTCGGGAAGGCAATTATATATATAATCTTAACGCCAGACTTACCCCTAACCCTAACCTTACATTAATCTTTGACAATACCTCTATTATCATAGAATTTTTCCGGATATACCCGAATATCACATGATCTGAACACTTTTTTCGCCATGGCTAGGGTACTCAAAAATAACGATATAAGCAAAATGATTTTTAGTGTAACTTGCGGCGAACCAATTAGAAATTCAATATCGCGTTACGTAGTTTTTTAAATGGCAAGTAATATAATGATAATGAGAACATTATAATTGATGTAATTATTGTAGCATATGACTAGAGATGGGCTGATACGCATTATACGCATAGTTATCATAAATGCCCATACACAATTATACAGATCATCACCAATTAAGGGATTTGTACTTTAAATAACGATAAATAAACCAGAACATCAACGCATTTATACATATAACGTTAACGATAACGTTTACCACTACATCTTTATTATATTTTTAAGTAAATATTGCGAAATATTATGGCTTTTCGAAGTTCTATATGGGAACATTTTAATAAAATTGGTCATATTGCTGGATTTCAACAACAGCGCGCAGAATGTAAATATTGTGAAAATCCCAAATATCAATGCAATAATTCAGTGTAAGTCACATATCTTTTTTATTAAATGAAAATCTATACAAAGTACTAGTGAAGCTAGTATAACTAATATATGCTAAAAATCGTGATAATAATATATAATAGAAATTATAAACTATATTTGCAAAGCAATACATAAAAATTACTCAAACATGGGGAGGAAACTGTAGTGCTTTCTTCTATTCATCATTTTGATTTGGATATAGATGCATGAAATAATAAAAATAAATTTGTAATAATAATATTATGTAAAAGTAATAAGGTTTCTACAAATTTAGTTACTACACTCTCATCTGATAATTGTAAAGGGATTTCAGCTGATTGTAGATGATAGTGTTAATGAATATTAATCTTATCTCTAACAAGAACATTTAAATGTAACATATTTCCTGCTATTTGTATTCCAACAATTCCAAATTCATTTTTATCAGATTTGAGAGTTTTATAAGTTCAATAAAGTTCATCATTAGTTTCTCTCAATAACTTTATCTCATCATCAATTTTTTTTGTGAATTACAGAATAAATGAAAACATTCAACAT